CTACATCTGTATTATGAATCCCAACTAAAGTTAAGTGCTATAAAGTTGAAAATAATAGAATTTTGAAGTTCCAGTAAAGTAAATAAGCTGAACAAACAGTTCAAAAAATAAATAAATTTTCCAATGAAAAATTCGCTGCAACCACAAAAATGCAGTTGCCAATATAGCAACTCTGTTGCCAGCTTTAAGTTGCCAGATGCCGTCGGTAATACCATTTCAGCCACTGGAAACCCAACTGAAGTTCGGTTGCCATCCGTAATTGATCCAATAATATCTGCTACAAATTTTAAATTCGTAGGGTCTTTTGTTTGTGGTAAAATATTAATTCTTGCGTATCGATAACAAAAGAACTCAGAATTTGATTCCCAACAGCATAAATAATGCCATATTTTTAAAAGTATCGGTACTAAGTACTCCACAATACTCAGCACTCACCAAAGAACTCGAAAATACTCAGTACTCAAAAATACTATGTCTATAATAAGTGTCGAATTGATACTCAGAAGTACAATACTTGTACCCAGTACAGTTAGCCATTGAGCCTTGGCACAGAGAGAGTATTATTTTACCTCAGCAGTTTCAGACCGAGAAAAATTCGGTATGACTTCGGTCTGAAACACACGTAAACAAAAATCTCTTACTAACACAACTGTAGCCCGTATACATATGTATGTACAAAAGTACATAACCGTTTTCAGACGGTGTGAAAGACTAGTGTATTTTCGCATATCTGTCTGGTCAGACAGTCTGAAAAGACTAGTGTGTCGAGGATCATTCATTTGACATGATTTTTTATTTAAATATTAGCTTTGTTTCTTTACTTTCTAGAGGATAATTATCAGGAAGAAGAAGAGTGGGAAAACTGAGAGAAATAAAGAGACAGGTGAGAAACGTAAACTAGAAGAAACTGGCTTTTTATATTTCAAAAGTATTCACAAATACTTACATTTTGCAATACATCACCAATATTTAATGATTCGCTCATTTTCATTAGAAAATATGTAGAAAGAAACAAGTAAAAACCACTTTGTTTACGTTTCAACAGCTGTTTAGCGTTTTGACAGCTGCTAGTAAAATTTGTATCGGTATTTTTATTCAGGATAGGCAAAAAAAGCGTATAACTATCTATAAAGAAACAAAGCTATTAATTTAATAAAGTCCCGCCAGCCTGTAAGATTTCTACACTAAGCATTGAAATGTCGCCAACGTGTGTGCATTTAAAAAGTACTGAGCATGATAAAAACATTGCAAGGTAAAACCGTTGGGAGGCAGTCTGACGTTTTCAAGCAATATAATTTTAAAACTCAAGGTCAAACTCACACACACAATCTCATTTTAGAATCTTTAGAAGTATCTCATTTCTGTAACGTTTTTTCGAATCTTCAAAGAAAATATATACATATATGAAGTGGTTGACACGAGCTCGTAAAGAAATTTCTGTAAGAAAAATACACAAAATTCTGAAAAACTTCTGCAGGAAATTCTTCACATAGCTGCATTATTTTCTTTACTTTAGCGATTTTCTTTCGAATTTTCGTAAAAGAATCCAAGTGTGCTCAGTTTATTTTATTTTAAAAAATCGGATGACATCTTTACGAATCCTTTAAATTTTCTCAACAATTCAGAATACTCCGAAAAAATGGTTTGCAGGGCAATTTCATTTTTCTGTTTTCAATCTTATACGAATTTAATTTTAATGCTTGGAAAGAATGATTTTACGTTGTTTTTTTGGTATCATGGTACTGAGACTCTCAAAAATACCCTATTCTTAAAAACACCGATAAAATAATTCTCAAAAGTACGCAATACTTCTCAACCCTAATTAATTCTATTTCTACTTAGCTTCGGATTTGCTATTAAAAACCTATTCATCCACTTTTGCCACACTATAAATTATCAACTACAAGGTTTTCGTAAATTTTTTTTTTTATTTCCCCTTTTTAGTTTTTCTTCAGTTTTCTTGTTTTTATTTTATACATATACATATTTACTTTGACTAATATGTTGCATCTGAGTTGTTCTCATTTTTTTTGTTTGTGTAGCGACAACTAGTACTAGAATTGCTCTTATATTATAAGAAAATCTTTTATAGTACATACATACATAAATATTTATATGTATAATTTCCAACACATATTTTATATAAGCTTGGTCCATACAAATTTGTAATTATCTTCTTCTTCATACCCGAATGCCCGAATAGACGAATATTAGAATGCATGCGTTTACTCGTGTATTGTTGTATTGTTGTTGTAAAGCGTAAAGCCGAGCAACATCATCATGCCTAAGTGTCCTACGCGTTTGTTCGTTCATACGGCGTGGAAATCGCGTTGTTTAGTGTATTTTAGTAATATGCAGTTCGTTTACCCTTTTTAATAACAAGCTAAAGTACGCTTATTATTTACCCATTTTCTAGTTTAAATATAGATTTAAATTTGTATCTTATTATAACTTTTATTCTTTTTTCGATTTTATTAGTTTTTTATTTTTTTATCAAACACACTTCTCGCTTACTATGACCTAATTATTTTAATTTAATTATGTTTATTATTTTGCAGCTAACTTTAAATAGTTACAATTAAGTATTCTCTTCGTACCATTTTGATTTTTGTTTTTTGTTTTCAATATATTAAAGACTTTACTTACTTATAAACAGATTGTGTTTGCCTTTTAATTTTGCCGCAATTTTTAATGACTTTTTTGATTACTTTTGTGTAACAGTTAATAACTTTTTACCTTTTAACTTAAGCTTAAAAAATTTTTGTACAACAAAAAACTCAAAAATAAAAAAATAGAAAAAAGGTCACTTAATATATTTGTGTATATATATATATATATATATATATGTTATATAGTATTTATAACTTATAAAATACAACGGAAATGGAAATTATTTGCATACCTAAACCAGTATCATTCATAATCTTATTAACATTTAATGTTTGTTTGTGTTTTTTTTTGTGTGTGGCTGTAGTGGTATCGTTAATTTTTTGTGTACATTTTTGAGTTGTTTACTTTTCTATTGTGGGCAGATGCATAAATATATGTACATATGTATATATTGTACATAAATATATATAAATATGTATATCACTATACATATGAATATTTATGTGTTTATGTATGTTTGTATGTATGCATTTGTATGTAGTAAATGTATTTATGTTGGTGTCTGCATGTACAAATGTTTGCTAAAATACCAACCTATTGAATTTTTCAGCGCTGTGGAATTATCTAACAAAGAAATTTAACTTTTTAAAGAGTTTAAGAAGAGCTGTTTCTAGAAATGAGCGAAAATATAATACAACAGCTAAAGAAAACAAAACTAAAGACGAAAAAAAAACATATGTCTGCTGAATAAATAAATGTTGTTAGCAACAAAGTTGAGCAACATATGATACGGAAAACATTGTTGAGAACATTTATGCTTGAGAGTAACTTAGGGGGAGTTAGATAGATTGAGAGCAAAGACCAGAGAAACATAAGAAACATACAGACATGTGAAATCGCAAATGTTTACTCCCGATATAGCTTGCGGTTGTGAAGTTGCAATGAAAAGTGCATTGAAAACATTTGTATAAATGAGAAATTCTTTTTAGCTTGATTGAGTTTATTTTAAATTATTTCTTCTAAGTTTTAATATATACTTTTGTTGTATCTAGAAAACAAACTTTATGCCGACTTCATTTGCTAAAAATTAATATTTCCTGACGACATTTCATTTTTTGGCCGAACTAATATTTTTCCGATCAACGAAGACTTACGATTTTACATAATTGTGCGATAAGTCTATTTTTGTAAAAACCGCAGATAGAGGGTATTGAATAAAATGTAATAATTTGCATTTTTGCTTTTATTGTTTAGTCAGAACGTCGCAAAGAGCCTCTACCTAACCTCATTTATGTACATACACTGCTGGCCGAAAAAATAAAATGCCTTATTTGGTTGCATTCCTTTTGTTTATTTAATGTTTGATATTTCTTTATAAATGTCTCAGTGCCATTTTCTCAAGTAGCTTTTACAGTTTATCCGCCCTTTAAACAAAATTTTTGTTCTGAAAAAAGTGTTAAAAAATACAGATTAATTTTAAGACCTACTTGAGAAAAAGGCATTTAATGCATCACCCTAACTCATTATGTAATAAACTGTATATAAATGCGCGTATGAAACTTTGTGCAGAAATTGTAGAAATTCAAAAAATGTTCACCATAATTTTAAATTTTTAATTCATAACTTTTATAAACATTTTAGGTTAGCAGTTTTATAGCTTATTAAATTTTAGTAGGCAAAAGTGCAAGTTTCGAGCGCCTAAAAAATACCGTTGATTTTTTTAAATTTTTTTGCCAACGACATTGCGGATTTCTTCCACATAAATATAAATTGCGACAAAAAAAATCGAATAAATCAACGAAAATTTAATACAAAGTTTAAAATGCACATCAATATGCAGTTCATTTTATAATGTGCTAGGCTTTTATAAAAAAAAAATATTAAACATTAAATAAGCAAAAGCGAAAACGGGTAAAAATCAGGCGTTTCTATTATTTCTGCCACCAGTGTGTGTGTACAGGTGATCGGCTGAATTGCTGATATTCTAGCTGCGAGTTGAGTTACTATTTTGCCATGTTTCTATAATTTTGGCTTTAAATTTAACGACAGTGGAAAAATATTTTCTTTTTACAACTTCTCTCTGCAGGTAAGAGTACATGCGTGCCCGTGCATTTCTGTGTGTGTGTCGCACATGTTTATGCATGTATGTGTGTGTGTGTGTGTGTGTGGGTGAATGTGTATAAATTTATTAATTTACATTAATGTATGTATCTATGCATGTATAAGATAATAAAAAGAAATTATGCATATAACCTTTTCTTCCCCCTTTTCACGCCCTTTTGCTTCTTTTTGTTTTTCATTTGCTTTTTACAATTTAATTTCCTTTTGTAATAACTAAAAATTAATTAATTATAAATTTATTTTTTTTCTTGTTTTGCTTTGAACCTTTTTTGTATTTTTATGTTTTTTTCTTTGCTTTGTTTTGTTTTTGTATTTGTATTTGTGTTTTTTTATTTTTTTGTGTTGTTAGCTTAGTTGCGGCTGTCGTCGCCGTCACCGTCGCTGTCGCTGTCGTTGTTGCTGTTGCTATTACAGTTGCAGTTGCAGTTGCAGTTGCTGTCGCATTGGCTGCTATGCCTTTTGCCCTATATTATTTTTGTTGTTGCTGCAATTTTCTCTGCGTCAGCTGTGTCGACAGTTCAACGCCCATTTTGCTATGACCATTGACTAGCAGCGGCGCATCGCCATTTTTGTGCAAGCTGCCATTCGCCGTCGTCGGCTTGATGCTGCCATTCAAGGTGGTGCCACTGCCGTTGGCCAGCAGCGACGTCGATGCCATTTTATAGCCATTCTTTGTCAGTCCATTGGCAAGGCTGCCATTGCTGACTACGCCATTGCTGATGTGGCCATTTGTGAGTGACGCTTTCTGCTGCTCCTCCGTCACGGCTTTATTCGTTTTCTGCACATCCAAGTCGTCGTCGTCCTTCTCTTTGCGCTGCAAAATGAACATCAATAAATTTTTGTGTTTCTGTTGGATTTAAAAGTAAGAAAATTAAAAGGGAGAAATTATATAAAAAAATAAATATCCCAAATACACCAATCAAAACAAATCAGGCAGTGTTATGTTGGTGCAATGGGAAGCAGCAATGGGTGCATTAGTTTATGCCACATACACAAACACAAACATAAAACATGTAAGCCATTTAATGATTATAAATTGAATGGTGGCAATTTTTTTGTTTTTGGTTTTTGGTTTTTGTTTTAAATATTCGCCGATTGATGAATTGATTGAATGCATGAATGAATGCATTGATTGATTGATTGCGAGCAGAAGACGTAGTAGCAGTAGCAGTAGTACAAGTAGGTGTGGTAGTAGTAGCGGTGACAGTTGATTGGTGGTAGTAGTTGTTACAGTTGTTTACAGTTGTATGCGCCAAGCACGCAATCGATACAGGATGAAACGAAAACAAAAAAAAATTCAAATTATTTAACAAGAAGTTCTTAGCTTAAGTCTTTTGTTTTTCTCTTAGCTGGCAGCGAATTAAGCAAGCTGTCACAACAAAAATGCATACAGCAAGCCTAGATACATATGTATGTATGTATGTATGTTTGCGAATAACTATTGTATGAAGATAAGCTCAAGAAATGATGATGTAACCAGATTTGTTTGTAATAGGCATTGTAATACGTACGTACATATGTATGTATGTGTATATTTAGGGAAATCAATGCTTAAAAAATTAATGCAATTGTTTTTTTAAGTAAAATGCAAATTTGGAAGTTGTTAAATAAGGGCACAGCAGATAAATTATAATGAATACAAAAATTAGATCCATGAATAGCACAGTGAAGGCCTGTGGTATTCCAAAAAAAAAAGTGTGTGCTTTCTTTACCTAACGCCTTATTCCGAATTTCCACTAGGCATTGAAATGACGTAAAATTTGTGCAATGTGGAAACGAATTGAGTGGCAATTTTTCTTAACGTTATGGCACAGATATTTTTTAATGTCTAGCGGAAATCCGGCATTAGGGCTATTTGCTCAAGTAGCTTTGTGAACGAAAAAAAAACGAAACCGAAACGAAAAAATTTTTAAGCTACTTGTTTTCGGCTCTTAATGTCTATTATTCTTAAAGTAATGAAGCGGATATTTTTTAGTGCGCAAGTTTGTGAATGAAATGTTTGTCATTTAAAGCCTAGTGAGAATCTAGCATAATTTTGAGGAAGTTTAGCACGAGCATAGTTGAAAAAAGTTGTAATGTATACAGAACGGTACAACTTTCTATATACAGTGTTAAACGACTTTGGTGGGTGGGGAAACTGTAGGCTTTTATTTCCATGGCGTAGTTTGGATATTGAGCGCCCGGATCGAATAATGCTATGCCACCCCCTACCCCGCATGTTTCTTGCTAAATTTTCAATTCTAGGGAAAAAGTAATTAAAAGCTTCTATTCAAAAAAAAAATATAAAATCGATATTTTTTTCCATCGGAATTATAAAATGTATTATATTCTAAAACTTTCGCCGAAATATTTGTGAAAAGTATTCAGAGTTACGTGAGCTGGCCCCATTTGAAAACACCTCTAAATATGGGGGTTTTTTTTATAAATAAATTTAGTTTTTTTAAATAATTTTTCTAAAAAATTATTTCAGAAAATAAAAGGTCTGCATACCCGCTCTTTTTTGTAATTTTATCAACGGAATCAAAATAACGAGATTTAAGAGTTATTTTCAAAAGATATCAGTTCATGTAAATATTTTTATTTTTCCGAAATATTTTGGCGGAAGTCTTAAGATATAATAAGTTTAATGATTCCGGTGGAAAAACCGCTACTTTTTTTTGGTGATGCACCCTAATGTACATATGTATGTTGTTTGGGTCAAATCTTGCAATAAATTTGTAACCACTTTCCCGATGAGCTAGAGACTAGAAATTTTAAAGATGGCTCTGAACCTGATGGCAGTGCAATACGAAGAATGAATCAATCCGATAGGTGGCGCAGGAGACGTTATTTAAGAATACAAGTTGATAGATGTAAAAAAAAGAAGCTGAAGCTGTGATATCGACATTAGGTAATATAATTGATCAAAGTCTTTTCGGCGCTTGGACAGTTAGCTCGCTTGTACTTTTGATCACAAAAGATAATTGGTTATGGTTATGGCTTTGGTGTGCCACCAATAATTGGGTGAGCCATGACAGGAGAAAACTATGTATTCAATACAATAGGGTGTTCTTGAGAAGTTTTTTGAGATAGAGCGTTTTCAAGCTGGCTGCCGGGATAGGTGGATCTTCCACTCAGCAGTCGATATGTACATGTTTTAACAGAGCAATGAGAGAGAGAGAGAGATATAGCGACAGCTGGTGGGTCATAGTATCGTATTAAATTTAGCCAGAATTTGGTGCACCATTGCGTAAAACCCTGCAATGAGCGATGAAGCGCAATGGATATGGTAAGCTAAGAGCGAAAAGTCTGCAAAGCCGCATAACTAATATATACATATATAGTGGTAATAATGACTCTTTTCTTTTGTGTCTTTATTTTTTGTATGTCATAGGTATTATTACGCTAAACTCATCTATTAAAACACAAAAACCATTATTGGCATTTATTGTTGCACCCAAAGGTGAAGCTAGCGCTTTGGGAATAGTGTTTGGAAACTGCTAAATATGTAAGTGTTGAATCATAGCAGCGTAGAGCAACCGAAAAGCCCACGAACCGCAAGAAAAAAAACAAAACCGGAAAAAGACACAAACTTAGTAAATAGCACACCATGAAATTCATTGTTGGGTTATGTAATAATTGAAACTTTCACTTGCATCACCGGTGCCGGCAAGCAGTAAACGGCAGCCGCCAAGCATCAACACCACCATCACCAACATCATCGCCTCCATCACGGCCTGAGCTAGGCAATGTTGACAGCGCACAAACAAATACAACTGAGTTTTTTTTTTGTAATTTTTTATTTATTTTGTGCTTGTTTTTTGTTTTATTAGGTGTTGCTGCTACGATGTTCGTTTTTGTTTTATGCATTTTTCTCCATGTAAGCAATTTTCGGCCTAGTTACCTACTTCCTTCAATTGACATTCACATTTGCAACACCCTGCTGTGGCTCTTCGTGTCAGTTGGCGTGAACACATACACATTTTTACTTAAGCTAGCCGATAATTTTATGATTACTAATTTACTAAGTATGTACTTGCGTTGCAGCGGTAGTTTTCATTTAAAAAATAGGGCCTACATTATGAGATTGTTAATGAAATTCGCTGACCAATAAAATATGCAACAGTTGGTCGTTACTCTGCTGGGCGCCTTTGGCTTACTTATTAACCCAAATGCATGAAGGTGCCATGGCAGTGAAGCTAAATAAATACATATACGATCAATCGATAAAATGCCGAAAAGTCTTTTACATTTTGCCCAAAAGGGATGGATATGTTCTTCAGCTGTGTACAGATTCGTGCATAGGAGTTCGAGGTTCGTTAACATACATATGTATGTCGTAACGCTACGAACGTTTTCGGTCTAGTGAATTAAGTCTTGTCATTCGAGCTTCTTGGCGGAATCTAAGTTTAGGCTTGATTTTATTCAAAGAATGAAAAAATGTAAGTATGTGTGTATGTATAAATATATTTGAAATTCGAATTATGCCGAATTTCCACTAGGCATTGAAATGACAAAAAATATAAGCCATTTAAAAAAATGCTATGTGGAAATAAACTTAATGACACTCTTTTTAACGTAATGACACGAATATTTTTTAATGCCCAACTTTGTCATTTGTCATTTTTGCCATTTAATGCCTAGTGGAAATCCAGCATTATATTCGTACATCAAAAATTTTTAATCAAATTCACAACACCGTTTTAAAACCTATTTCCATCAAAGGATCAACTGCAGTTAAGAGCTCATATAAGTTCCAAGAATTTAAACGTAGGGTGATCGGCAAGGTTTATTTCTTAAGTTTATATCGCTTAATTTTCTTTTGCTTGTACTTTATATTTGCAATCGTCTGCTTCGAATTCTAATCGGCTTTTTACAATAGGCCTACACTGCAGTTAAGACTTGGTGAAAATGACCTATTATGGGCGCTTTCAGAAACATTCAAAAGAAAATGTAAAATTGACGAGCTGAAGACAATTTGAATAGATGGTACAAATATTAAATATATATATTAAAAAAAAATATTAAATTTTCTAGTCAGTCCGCAAGATTAAACACTGCTCTAGAAACTGCAAAGAGGGCGGTAAATTCAAGAAAGGCATAAAAAAGTCCCCAAATATACTGAGATGAATCTATTCGAAGCAGTCATCTGATTTGATAGAACCACACAACTGGAGGCGCTCTAGGCGCATGCGTAACTAGACCCATTAGAACGTTCTATTAGATCTCTTCTCTTTTCATGTTCATATCTACACACTGGAAAACTGGAGAGCTTTTGTAGGGATGACTGGTACCAAAAACAGGACGAAAGGGTTTATGAGTCCGCAGGAAGAACAATATTATGGTAAATAATGGTATGAATACCTTGCATTCCAAAGTTAAGTTTAACAAAAAATTTTAAAACAGAACTTACTTAGTAACAAAAACAAATCTATAAATATTCCAAAAAATATAAATTTTGAGTTGAGTATGCAAAAATTACCTCAACCTCCCTCGTCTTCTATGTTGTGTAAAAATTTCATGACTGTATTGATTACCCGTATCTCACTCGAACAAAATATTTATTAATTTTTACTATGGGAGTATATCGATGGCTGAGGTCAGAATTGGACTGAAAAACGCCCTACATCATTATTTTTCTTTTATTTTTTCTTTCACTTTTTATGTTTCTTTTCTTTTTATTTATTTTTTCTTTTTAATTTTTTTATCTGTTTCTTTTTCTTCTTATTTTTCATTTTCTCTTTCCTTTTTTATTATTGTTTTTCATTTTAATTTTTTTGATCTCTTTTATATTTTTTTTTTTTTGGTTTTCCTCTTTCCCTTTAATTTTTTATCTCCTTCCTTTTTATCTCTTTCCTTAATTTGGCATTTTTGGAGTGGCCTTGCTTTCGTTCATAACTAATATTTTCTTTGTGCTGATTTTAATGAACTATATATCGTCACTTGAAATGCAAAAAGACGTAACAACATCGCAACTGTAATGGAAATAGTCGTTACTGATATTTTTATGTTTTTTTTTTGTTTTTTATAAAAGGATGTGGGTAGTTGTAAATTACAACTTGTAGTTCGATGAAATCCATCATATAAATCAAAAGGTGAATTTTGAATTTTTTATTAGTTATGACCTTTTGTATTTCAACGATGATGTTTGTTATGTCTTTTTGCATTTCAGGTGATATATTTTGTCCTTGTTTTTTTGTTTTCTGTTGCCTCTCCTACAAAGAGATTTCAATTCGTTTAGGCAAATGCATTTGCTTTCTACCCAGAGCCGCATTTCTCTTTAATACGCAGTTATTCTTCATATCCCTCATTATATAAAATTGTTTGACCCTTTTTTTAATTGCTATTTTGATAGCTTTTCAGGTATTACCTGTTCCAGTATTTATTTTTCTCTGAAGCAAATATTGCGATTATTTGCATTGCCGAAAATGGAAAAGCTAACCATAATAATCTCATCTTAAACACTCCTTTGTTTTCTCTTTTACTGAATTTGTTTATTGCTTTTGGTGAATCACAATTTCAAAATGCTATCGTCAGCCTTATGAGAAAAATGACGCGACCACTTTTTACATGAAGCAAAATCAGCACTCATTGCTGCTATGAACATTTTTTTTTTCACAACAAAGGCGGCACTTTTTGCTTTGATCATGAGCTTTAAATTAATGCTTAAATAAAAATTATGTAAACAGTTGCTGCAAAAAAATCATCTCGTGGATTTCATTACAGTGTTTGTTCGGGGGGAAAAAAAACGTAAGGTCAAATTAAGACATTATGGCTGGGGACTTAATTTTGGTAATGGTGCACTCAAATTAACGAACTTACATTGACTACTTCTTATTCAGTTGGTGCCGAAAGTTTACTCTTAAAAAATGGGTTTATTTTAAAAAGTGTAATGTAGCTGGCAAAATCTCTGAAATTTCTATCATTGATTAGGAATGGAATTGGTGGTACATGTGTACATAGCACATATTTCGCAGGTTCCCAGTAATTCATATTCAGCAATTGATATTTCTTATTATCAAATCTAGTTTGAGGTTCTGGTGACCCTTTTATTGACCGATCTATAAATAATGGACAATTGCGTCCGTTTCAAAAGAATTTAAGCCACCACAAGCCGCTAAAGTGGAAGAGTTTCTAAATCCACAAACATAGCCTCTACTCTACGACAGGAAAGACTCCGTTTCTCGAGCATATGTATTTACTTTTACGATGTTCAGGGTCGCACGAATGAAATTGTCGTCCTAATCCGAGGTAGGTTTGAAGACCCCATCTCACACATCCTAAGGTGCAGTAAAAATGATTTGAACTTAAATTCTAGTGTAATTATATTCTCCAGGAAAAAGATAATTGACAAACTGCTAGAGCCATTTATTTATGGAGCAAAGGTACGCTACTTCAAAGAACGCCATATATTACTTTTCCTTGATGGAAATCTTTCATAATAACCGGCCAAATAAAGCTACTCAAAAAGCTAGATTGGTACCGGCCGGAAACTAATGTGGAGAAACTGAGCCAGTGAGTCAAATTGACAAGCTGTATGAGTGAAAAAATTTCAAAACGCATTCTATACCCCGTCTCGTAAAAGACAACAGAAATGAACTCCACGCTGGCCATAATGCCGGAGCTCCACTAAGCATTAAATGACAAAAATTTTAGTGAGAAAGTTGGTCATTAAAAAGTATATGTACAAAATATTCTTTAAGTTCGTTTACATATGGCATTAAAGATACAAATTTTTTTGTCATTCATTCATCATTTCAATGACTAGTGGAAATCCGGCATGAATTTTTGATTGATGTGAATTTAAACATTTTATTGAAGTTTAATTAGATTTACAAGTAAAATTTAAATGTATGTATAATTGTGAATCCCGAAGAAAAAATTACAATAGTATTTTGTAATACCCAAAATTTGTAAGTAAAATTTTTGTCATTTAATGCCGGCTGGAAACCCGAAATAAGTGGTATTCAGAGTGTCCATTAGATTATAACTACATAGTAATTTTTTGTATACAGTGACTAAAAATTCAGACTTCTCAAGAAAGTGTTCACCTTGGGTGCATTTAGACGTTTTTCATCAGGCTAAAGTGGAAAATCAAAGCAATAAAAGTAGAAGTATAACTTGTGATATTGCTCGCTGAACACTGTGTCCACATCGCTTGCTTCTTATTTTGCTAACACTTCGTTTGAGGCTCGTACGTCGTTTGAGGAACGTGGTGCCACTCGAAGATGTCTTCAGCGTGAATGTGCCGGAACGAGTATTTTTGGAGCGTGAATGATGCTGCTGCTGGCATTTTATATTTTAATTACGATTTCAGTTACGTTGTATACATATGTGAATTAAGGATAAACAACTAAATTAACAAAGTCAAATCCACAGAAACGAAACTATTTTTTAATTGTTTTGTATTTTTTTTACTCAGAATTAAGTACTTGGTGGGGCTGGGGGGTGGTGGTATACTTAACAGGAGCTACATTACTATTTCTCACTTTAAGCACCAAACAGTTAGTGTACAACAATTAAAAATACAATTACTAAAATATCTGTGCATTTGTATTGTGAGTGTAAGCTGTGCAGTGCTACCAAAAAAAATAAGAAAAGAAAAACAAAAGCCAATAAGATACTAAATACACATGACTAAATCTATTTATGGGTATAAAATGTATCATTGATAATGCGGCACGTAAAATGCTTCTTGTAGCAAGCTGAGAGTACAGAGTAGTATGCCTTTGGGGCGTTCACTTACCGTGCGACGTCCCTTGTAGGCGTTCTTGTAGAATTCATTGAACAGGAAGAAGAACATCACCGCATGCATGCCGATCCACCAAACGAACGCCTTTGGATAATTGCAGTCGATGAAGAGCAATTGGAAGGCGTGCACCATGATCAGCACAAATTGTACCTGAATAAAGAGAGTCGAAGAAAGAGATGACCAATTAATATGTATTTCTTTTTAAATAGATTCAATGCGCGAATGTCATTATCCATTTACCATCTGCAGAGTGGTCAGATATTTCTTCCACCACAAATATTTCTGGTATTGTGGACCCATGGCTGAAAACATGTAATACGTGTACATAATGATGTGCACGAATGTGTTGAGCAGGCCGAAGAAAGTGCTGTGACCACCTGTTTGGAGAATGAAAGCGTATATGTAGGTGCGTGAGACAGAGAAAATTTCATAAGACATAGCAAGCAAGAAGTGATGTAAGCACGCTTTCGAGGTCAATTTGAATGTCGCGTTATTCATTTTTCAGTACGTAAATAGTTATGTATACATATGTACGTCAGTACGTGAGGTTTGTATGTTTGTAAACGCACCTGGTGTGAACTTGACACCAAACCAGACGGACATCGGCATGCAGCCGTGATGTATGACATGCAGCGTTGTGACTTGGCTCGTCTTCTTGCGTAGCACAAAGAAGATCTGTAAAAAGGTAGAAAAAAAATGAGAAAGCCATATCAAAATAGTGCAAACAAATATTTAATGTTTCTGTATGAAGATTAGGGCGGGTCGATTTGTATGGGAAATTTTTCCGACTATGCGCGTACAGCACAGAAGGATTTTACGTGAAATTCTAAGCCAATTCGGCCAAGAAACTATGGGTCTAAAATCAATTTGGTGTTTACCAAATTGCGAAAAAAGGTTTCTTAGCATTTTGTTACATGCTATAAGAAGTTTTTTTGTATGGGGAATCCATTTATGCACTTTTATTTTTCTTAAAATCCCCACCAGAGGGCGCAACAGTGACAATTTTTACATTTTCTTCGAAACCTATTTTCGCAAATTGGCAAAATCCTAATTAATTTTAGACCCATGGTTTCTTCGAAAAATTTGCTTAGACTTATACGTAGAAACCTCCTAGGTTATACGCACATAGTCAAACAAAAAAATGATCCGCCCTAATAAACATATTTGCAAATATACTTATGCTTATATGCATTTTAAAGCCTAATTTTTTTTTTTTTAAGGTATTTAAGTGTGTTAGGGCAGTCATTCGCGTATTTAGTCGATCCGTCATCCGCCTCCAAATTTGGTTTGGTGGGACTATGAGATCCATTTTTAAGCTAAACATGTACATATATAAAACGGACGTTTCAGAGAAAATTGCGAAGCCGCTCATCACAATACAGTTCGAAATTAAACCATGGACTTCTTAACCAGACTCCATGAATGACATTTTTAACTAATATCGTATGTTGGTAACAATATTATTACATAATTGGTAGTTTCAGAACAAAAGATTTTAAAAGCAAATAAGAAGTTGTCCCGATACGAATGGTGAATCGACGGATTTAAATTAAATTTAAAAATGCATATGCTTTTTGACCGAACTTACCGTATCCAAGAACTCGGTGAATTTGGAAAAGTAGTACCACCAACACGCGTGTACCATCTATGCGGTATGCATTCCAAGTTCGTAAGTTGATTTTTGGTTTTCGTTTTTGTGTATTTTGATTTTTGTAGTATTGAATAAAAATAAAAATATATTAGTGCACAGCTGAAATTCAATTTTATGCTACAAAAATTCAGTTCAGTTTCTAACTATTTATCATCAATTCGCTAGCTAAGAGTGAAAATTTGTTAAGTCCAGTTTTGTTTTATAATTTTATAGGGGAGATGAACAACTTGCCAAACTCATTTAGTTAAAATATTTATTTTGTAAAAAATTAAATTTTTGCTTATTCAAAGCAAAATCCAAACCATACAAATTGCATAAGTGATATAATTCATGCAAATTTTTATATTTATTTGAATTTATGGAATTTTCAGTGCTTTCTTTGGAATTGCCAAATTTTTGTTTAACTGCATAGAAATGGGTAGAAATAAAATTCGTACATAAGTAATTAAGTTTTTTGTTGAAATAATTTATTTAAAATTTTTTTCTTGCTTCGTGCAACAAAATGCAAGTTTTCCTAAAGAGTGGGCTGGAGAAACTTTTCACTCTAAGCTAGCGATTGAATGATAGGAATTATTAAAATATAAAGGTTTTCAAAAGGTCAACGTAACAATAGGATGCAAACAAAATGCATATGTCATTCCAATTAAAAAAAAAGATTTTAAAATTTTTTAATTTTCGTATTATAAAATAATCATTTAACTTGAATAACCGTGTTTTTGGTAATAAATCTTTTCTGGGGTATATATAAATATATTACTAAATATGTAGGGTACTGCGGCTCTCTCGAAGTTGTTTTTTTAGTGTGGGAAAATCCAGATACCCATTAATTCGTTTTAGCAAGTTTATTTATTTAACAAAGCAGTGTAAATATTCTGGTGATTTAAAAAGTGCATGTAATGCATGTCATGACTTTTAAAAACAAATTAATATTACTTATAAATCATAGGTTCCCAACAAATAAACAAAACAAAAAAACAGCAATGTTAACACTCAATATGTCTGAAAATATTTACAGTTGAGTGCACTTAAATCAAAAGTTATTAAAATAATCAATATGGTAGCACAGTTTTAGTTGAAAGCGTTGAAAGAGAAGAGCTTTTACGTTTCTTCGTTATTACTTCTAACATAGTTGTCGCGAAAATTTTACGATTAATGCTGAATTTCCACTAGGCATTAAATGACAAAATTTTGAAAGAAAATGTTGCGTATTAAAAATACCCGTGCCATTATGTTCGTAAAAATAGTAATTTTGTCTGTTCCAACTTGGCATTTTTTTTAAATGGCAAACATCTTTCGTCATTATAATGCCTAGTGGAAATTCGTAATTACTATCTGAGCTTTCAACAAAATTAAATTTTTAGAATCTCAACACGTATTTCCACTAGGCTTTAAATAACTCTCATAAAACTACTTTTTTTTTGAAAATGAATTTGTGTTGTCATTTTAATATTTTATGGAAATCTCCGAGCAAGCAGTTATATGGAAAATCAGTTTTTCTTTCAATCACGACACAAAATGTATGGAAGTACCGCTGGATAGAGATATTTGCCTTGTTGTTAATTTTAACTTCCAAATGCTTTCAACATTTTATGCTTAAAAAAGAAAAAGTAAAACAAAACAAAAAAAAATTTATAAAATTATAATGATGATAATGAGTAAAAAAAATTTGAAAAAAAAAATCTAAATTTAACTAAAGCAAATATGTATTAGTTACTCATTTGATTAAAAGTATATTAAAATTAGTATAAGAAGTTAGTAAATACAAACTAAGCTGCTTTTGAAACTAAAAAGTTTCCCATAACAAACTTAAGTTAGTGTTAATCAATTTTTGGGTAATCGGGATGCTTTGGTTGTGTTGAAAAGGTGCATACAACTTTCACAAGATTTTTGTATTTTTGATTTCTTAACGTTTCTGGGATGCAAACTTATAATAAAATAATTATAAGAAAAAAAATTAATTAAAAAATTACTTTGCGAACGTTCGTTGAAAAACGTTCAATACACATACCCTTAATGTTCTAGGGTTATTACTATAATCGACTGGCTGACATCGGAAGTTATAATGCCCCGTTAGCCAACCGGAAAAGGCTATCTGTAATGGTAGAGAAAGATTTTTTTTTCGATATGTTCATATTCTTCTATATTCAATTAGGTTTTCAATGAATTTGTGCTCTTTTTTTTATAAGAGTCGTTGTTCCAAATATATATCCCCACGCATACATACACACATATGTATGTATTTACGTATGCGCTGGAAAGCATGCATGTATGTATGTATTTCGAGAACTTGCGAAAGTTTTAATTTTGAAAAAAATTTTACCAAAACAAACTGAAACTTTCTCTTCACAAACTTCTATAAAATACGTATTTACAAAGGAAAAAATGGTAACAAGGTAGGGTAGAGGGGAGATTTTTGGAAGCGTAAGGATTTGGTTAGTGATAGATTAAGACAAGCTGTCGCATCTACTTACTCTTTAGTAAAAACATACATATGTTGGTAAACTTATTTATATGAAAAATGCATAAAATTAAATTAAATTATTAATATGGCAGATTAACAAATTATAAAAAAGAATACTTACATTGAGTCAGCTTTACCATAAAATAGTGTTAGGATTAAAAAGCAATTGAAGGCGATGGTGATGACACAGCTTTAAGCTAACAAGATAAGTAAGTTTAAAACTACATAGTTTTTCCTATAAAGAGCGAGGCTAGACGTAAATATTTGCCGTAAAAGATAGAGTGAACGGCCGAAAATTGTATTAGAAAATAGGCGACTTCCGCAAAGTTTCAAGGCGCCTATAAGGAAAAACTAGTGTCATTATATAATCATTGTATTCAACCCCCAAAAAATTTCGTGTAAAAATGAACTTTCGAAAAAATTAATACTTTGCTGGCTATCTCCAACCACAAAAATTTTGGTTGTTGGTTGTTGGTTCCCTTTATTGTAGATATTCAACTGAGGAATTCAAATTTGTGGCCAAACGTTGCCTAAAAAATTTTTTAGATGGTCAGTGCATCTAAACTTTCAACTTTTTAATCAGATTTTTCAGAATTTTTTTTTTGCGAGAGCAATTTAAGTGAAAAATGATTTTGATTTTTTGAATTTTATATGGAAACTTACAGAAAATAAAAAAATCATTTTCCATGTAAATTGCCTGACTTTATTTTATTTAGAACTATGGTCCTTTGTTTCCGGGTGATCCTTACAAAGTCAAAAAAAAAAAATAAAAAATGTATAGATTTATGTATAGCTGGTTTTCACTCAAATTTTTTTTTATTTGAATGTCAAATGATCTGCCACGAAAGGTTTGGTTAAAAAAGGAATTAAAATTTTCTGTGCTAATGCTAAAAAATAATAATAATGAGTAGTGAACTAAACAAATATGAATAAATAAATATTTAGTTATTATAACTAGTGCCTATGTACATACACAACTTTATGTATTTAATACAAAATTTATAACTCGAAATGAGTGAAAGTGAAATTTGTTACACATTTAACAAATTTTCTACAAACAAATATAAACGCATGATTGTTTAACACACTTTATTAAAATGTAAATATTAAAAAATACCATATAATATTTAAGCAACTTCTACGATGGAAATGGTTATGAAAATTCATCAAATGCATACATAAATACATATGTATGTATGTATGTATGAAGCATAGAAATTTAAGCAGCATCGAGAAACTTGAACTGAAATTTGCAAATCCCTGCTAATTTGGTGGAAGAATGTCAAAATGTAAAAAAGAAAAACAACTACAACTAATTTAGAAATTTTAGCCATGATTTGAAAAACGTAACCGACAATTTAAGAAAAATTAATTTTGACTTTGCCCAAAGAGTTACTATTTTTTAGCGACTGTAGCTAAGCAAATTCGAAATGATAATGTAACATAAGTGTGAAGATTTTAGGCAATTCAAAAGAAGAGCTGGCAAAAATATCGTTAGCCTAAAGGTCCTGTTACCTAACATTTTTGTTTTTTTACAGAGTAGTTGTAAAACTTTATAAAAACCAAGGATATTCAGTTGGGAGTTTTATTAAAGCACTGGTTTTTAATAACCACTGAAACTATATTAATCATGTAGAAGTTGATTTTCAATAATTTTTGGCTGTTGCTGAGTAATTTACTCCCTTTTGTATCAAGCGGATCGTCTAAAGAAAATGAGTTAAGAGTCTTTCTATTTTTGTATATTGTATCTACGAATGTGCTTTTCAAGTGAAATTTTTAATCAGGAAAATATGTACATACATTTCGGTCAATCCATTGGCAAATGAATCACTGCTTGCAATCGATCATTTTTAATTAGGTTGAATTTTGGTTAAAACGTTTCTTTTAATGTAATAAAGTTCTACAAAAAGAAACAAAATATTTTTTTTTTGAAAATCTTAAAAACTGTTGTATGTAGTTGCAAAAATGGTTCTGATGTAATTATAAAAGTTGATATTTAGGGCAAGGAAAAATAAAAAAAATTAAAAGAATTTTGAATTAAAAAAAATTTAAAAATTTTTTTTTTTTTTTAAAAACTGTAGTTCCTTTTTCTTATAATATACCCTTAATTTATTTTCAAAGATCCTGATAATTTCAAGAAGGTGTTTTCAAATATCTATTTTTTCGAAAGCTAAATAAATTTATGGTAAATAATTTTTATTATAATTTAAAAAGCTTTTTCTTTTAAAGTTTGCAACAAATTTCGGTTTTTCAAAGTACAAAAATTCACATCTTAAAAAAAACATATTCTTGGAATTTTCAGGATATTTTAAGATTTAAATTTAGACAAAATTTTACATGTATAAGGTATTGCTTTTAAAAAAACCTGTATGTTTTATTTTCAAAATTTTTTAAATTATTATTTTTTATATAGTCCCAAATAAAACTAGTCCAGGTTCATTTTTATAACTAAAATAGTTTTTAAGATACTGAAAAAATAATCTTGCGAAATCCGGGAAATTATGAGTTTTTTATCTTTCGAAAAAAGTATATTTTTTCCTTGGGCAGAACTTCATTATATGATAAAAGAAAAGTTCTGACAAAAAATGTATCCTATTCAAAAATAGTAGATGCCGAACCATTGGTCGATTTGACATGGATTTACTCATATGCACATATTAAAAAGTAAAAAAAAAAAATCCTATGGATAGTTATATTGATTATGAACAGTAGGTATGTCGTGAGGTTGTAAATTGTAAAGAAAAGAATGACTAAAAATAAAACTAGCGAAATGAGAAATAGTTTTGATATCAGCGGCGGTCTAAGCTTTTCTTAATGACTTCTTTTCTTTTTTGCAGCATGGTTAATACGTAAGCAATTGAAGATCAGCATTGTTTCTCCGAAGCGCGAATGGCTTTTCAGAATGATGCAAGCGAGTAACTGATGCAGTACGAAGCGCAGCTGGTAGATGATTTTGACATAAATGAGTTCGGCTAACTACTTTTAAAGCGTGTACACATAGAGTTCGTTACCTAAACGTGAAAAGGTGTCAAGTCCAATTTTTGAAATTATCATTATCTGTCATTTGCAGCAAAAATAAATTTTGAAAAAAAATTGGACTTGGCACCTTTTCACCTTTAGGCAGCGAGTTGTGTATTTGTAAAATTATGTATGTATGTATGTATGTGTGTATGTGTTATGTTGCTACTATTGGATTTTACTTTATGAATTCGATATCAGTGTGAGAATGTGTTTAATTGCATTTATGTGCAGCTACAAATGCGCGGTTTATTATTATTATTATTTTTTTTTTAACTAACTAATAGCTAAAATCGAGATTGACCGCAGTCTGAAAGAAGCTTGCTGTGCAAGAACTTCAACTTCGATAAGTGTAAGCATTTTTAAGTTGAGTTTGAATTTTTTTTTGTTTTTTTTTTTGTTGTTGTTTAGAATTTCCTCTCGTCCGCAATCGATTTTAATTAATTTAAATTTAATAATGTTTTTGCATATTCTTATATGAAACTGTCGTTGTTGTGTTTAAGTTTTTGCTTTTAGTATAAATTTTTGTCAGTTTATTGTTCATTTGAGCATTTGCTAAGACACTTACACGCTTCGTAGTGGGATCATCGCTATAATCCACTGGCTGACATCTAAAGCTGTAATGACCCCACCAGCCGCCCATTAAACACTAGAAAGTGCATTTCGCAAATAACAAAAAAGAGAAATATTTTGTTTTTGTTTTAAATAAAAAACTAAGCACTAGAAAATAGCAAAGGTAAATATATAAAGCTTCTGGTTGAAATTAATTAAAAAAGTTTCACAATTTATTCAAGGCAAATTACTGAAAATGAGAAAATATTTGCAATTAAATATTAATTTCATTGAAAATGTGAAAAAAGAGGATAGGAAGAGTGTTTTCAAAGTTTTTTTTTTCACTTCAAATCACGCAAAAAACGAAAACAGCAGGCGTATTGCTAGGAATTGTGGCGAGGATTACGGGTTAAGGGAGTGACTAGGATACAGGTAGGTAGCGGGAGGTGAGGAAGATGCAAACAAATACGTGTAGGTATTGTAGACAACACAATAAAAAAAGTTTTAATACTCAAATATAATATTTAGATATTTGTATGTACATACATATGTTTATTGCATGTGTGAATATGTGCGAGTTTGAAAGTGAATGCGTATGTATATGTACTTGTGTTACTAAGTAAGTAAATAGAAGTTACAAAGAAAAAAAAATTCGCATTTTCAGTTGGTTGCACACTTATGCACTTTTGTACGCAAATATGAGTATCCATAATCCTTCGCATGTCCTTGAAATGCATCGCAATCTCACTGACTGACTGAAGCTATCAATGACAGAGTAACAGAGCAACAAAGTGTCACAGTTCATCTCTCCGCTTCTAAGTTAGTTCGTTTGAGCGATACAATGAATGATTGATGGGTGGTTGGATGACTGATTTTTATTTTGTTTTTTTATATTTTGTCAGTTGTTCAGTTGATCCAGCACTGGCCAACAGGACCGAGACCAGCACGATACATACCTCATAAAATAGCCATGCACTAAATATCACTTGCACTGCATTGTAGAATACCAGTGTGTTTTGTAAGCGGAATGGTTTACGATTCTCCATTAATCGTGGCCCCAGCACCTGCATAAAGAGATAAGCAAGAACGTAGAATACTAAATAAAAGTTGCTTTATTTTTTAGTAATAAAATATGTTGATAATATACGAGATAACAGAAGATTGTAATCGGAAATTGAAAATGTAATAGAATTTTCAGCAGGTAATAAAGAGGAGAAAATTATATATGTACACTTGCGATCAGATAACTAACACAACGTTTTGATAGTTTGGATATGTTTCTTTTGTTTATTATTTTTTCATAAAAGTTTAGTTTATTATACAACAAAAACCATATAAAAATCTCGTTCAATTTTGGAAATTTTTTAACGCTCTTTTTTCCATACGAAGCATACTCAACAAGTTTTTTTTTTGCATATAAAAAAGTGCGTCAGAAAACATTCAGAAAAAAACTATTAAAACTTAAAATTTGCGCTTTGTTATACTAGAATTTATTGGGCTATTAAACTGTATACTCAAAATTCAGAAACTTTGCAAAGAAAACATTTGCTTGAGCAGTATTAAGTAATCCCGTTCAAACTTTTTTATGGAAAAAAAATTGGGAATATCTTTTACTTTGATACATCTAAGTAAGAACGTACGTAGCATATGAATTTCTAATTGAAGCAATAACCACCAAAGTCAAGATGCCGTAACAATGACCTATGGAGCCATCAAGATGACTGTGAAATCTCAGGGTCTTCTAACTCATATACATATGTATATCATCATAATCTCATCTAACCTTCCTACCTTTGAGTCGAAAACACAGACAAATTTTTCCTTAGAATTAATCGTAGAATTTGAATTTGATTTACACTTTTTTCGAAATTAAACTACTCCGCCCTATTGTAAACAATTAAAATTAATCGAATGAGTCCGATTCCTTCATACAAATAAAGTTGCTTCAAGTTTGACACCAATGAACTCTATGATGTCGTGACCCGTTTGTGGAAGCACGCATAGCTGGGTGTTCGTCTCAGCGGGGAGAAGGTTTATATCTACGCCAGAACATGAAAAGGGTTGCCATCTGATAAAACACTAAATTTAATGAGATTTGAAAATTCTGTTTGACAATATTTGAAAGAGGGTGGCCACCTGTTTGAAAAGTTATATGAAATACCAAAATATGAGTAATAAACAAAAGGGTAGTAAAAGATCTTTGATCTGAACACTTGCAAAAAAGTTAAATTATAATTTTTTAATTAGTTAAATAAATTATTACAATATGTGCATCAAGCAAAATCGGTTTTATAACGCTTCATTTCTAAACAATATGTAAGACGGTTGCCCACTGCTTAAAAGGTCAAATTCAACTTAATTAAAGGAATTAGGTAATTGAAATGGGTGCCACACGAAAGAGAGTTAAGGAGGTTGCAGGTTGAAAATATTTTAAAGAGGGATTAAGATGTGAGTGCCAAACGAAAGCTTAAGAAGAAATTTTAGTTTGAACAATTAGAATATTTGTGCGGTGTTTCAAGATGGTTGCCATCTGATTTTGAAAAGGCTCACTTCTAAACTGTATGTAGGAGCATTGCCATTTGTTTTAAAAGTCTAATTCAGCTTGAATTAAGATACTAAGTAAATTGAATGTATCACAATAGGGGTGTCAGGCGAAAGAAGTTCAGGGTGGTTTTATTTTGAAAATATTTTGAAGACGGTTAAAAGATGACGAAAACTGTGAAAATCGCTCATGTTTTTGGCTAAGTTTAAGATTTTGACTCGAATATGGGCAGGCTAAGGTTACAGATAAGTGTACTATCTCCCTTTACACTGGCGGGTCCAAAAAAGGCTGCGGTGTTGGGTCAGTACTATTGTGATGCTCACTTTATGCGGAAGGGAAAACACGCCAGCATATTCCAAGTCGAAGGTCCAGCTAATTAAGAGGCTTGCCGATACCAATATTTTTTACTCCCAGACAACGTCATCGGCCACCAGCTAAGCAGTTGTCATAAGTTTTTTAGAAAAGCAAAATATCGTTATTTGATTTGAAGGTTTTTTTTTATCAATTATTAAGGACAAAAATGTTTATTTTTGTAAGTACGTAAATGACTTTTTGCCAGAAAAACTGATCAAATTACTAGGTTCGATTTCTGGTCAACGCAAAATCCAAAAGCGATAGAAAGAGTTTTTTTCTATAGCACAGGTCATAGATAATATTCCAACATTTGCGAGGTTTCGCGGCATAAATACATAAGTGTAAAATGCGGTTTTAGCAACCGGTAATGGACAATCTATACATATAATAAAATTGTAACAGGCCGATGCCTGTACATTATAGATTTTAAAGAAAAATTAATATGTGGTCTTTATTAGGGCGACAGAAGGCAAATCAACAATTTTTCGAATTTTTTCTGTCTGTCTGTCTGTATGTTTGTACACGCATTACTCGAAAACTAATCCATACAATGGAATGCAGTTTTAATGGATGTATCGCTAGAGGTCTAGCTTAGTATATAGAAGGAAAACAAAATTAGAGAGTTGCCACCTGTTTGAAAATTGCAGTTTAAGTATATTGATTAGATAAAGTAAATATTGCAATATAGCTGTAAAAAGAGAGAGGTTTAAGAAGACTCACAGCCAAATAAGTTTTTGCTAAAGGTTGCCACCTTTGAAAATTTTAATTTAATTTAATTGATAAGACAAATTGAGTATTGTAATATGGGTATCAAATTGAAGAGGCTTAGGCAAGTTTACTGCCGAAAATATTTCTGAGGAGGGTTGCCATCTGTTTGAAAAATTGTATTCAATTAAATTGATCAAATAAATTAAATATTACAATACGGGTATCAAACAACGCAAAACTACGTTTAAAACGCTGTGAAGCACGCCGAGTATTTACTAGCCTGAAATAAAAATGTTTGTACATATGAGCCGTTCAGTGTACAAATTGATTAACTCCATCAACAAAAAATTGGGAGATGCAATCAAATAATGAAAATTATTTTTAACCGACATCAAAAAAAGGAGGAGGTTATCAAGTCGTCGGAATATTTTTGTTTTGTATGCCACTGCATAACTTTGGACCACATTAGCCGATTTCGATAATTCTTTTTTATCGGAAAGGTGGTACCTCAAGGCTAGTCCCATACTAATTTTGTTTAGATCCGATATAATAAATAATAATAAATAACGATAATCTTAAATTTTTATATGAGAATTGAAGTCGGTTTAGTTTTTTGCTTAAAAACTATTTGTTTAAAATTCCATTTATATTCTAAAAACAAATAAATAACGTTGTTATAAATATTATGTAATAAGTTATGCTTATACCAAGTGCTTTGACACGTAAATTTCAGATTTTTCAAAAAGTGAAGTTAGTCGGTGTGTGCACTGAACGGCTCATATGTGGGCCCTGAGTAGATATTTAGTAAGCTTAATAAAATAAACAACAGGCGAGACACTAGGCAGACAGGCGCTAGCTATATAGCCGCATGACGTCTAACGGAAACAGTTAAATTCATTGTCAGCTGCATTTGACATTTATAGTTGTAGCTAAATATTAGCGCGCGATTACCGCAATTAGCTGCATTCCACAGATATGTATGTATCTGACTTATAAAGTAACTAACAACTAGGTGTAATAAATACTTGAATATGTATGTACGTGTGTGTAGAAATGTACATATAAAAGTGTAAAGGAAAAGTTTTATAAATGTTGATAGCTCTTTCCAGTTGCAGTTAATTTACTACTGAAAAGATTAAAAAGGCTTAGACAGCAACAACTAAAGCTCGTTGTAAAAACAACTGCTGGGCATACATATGTATTTAAGATAAAATTTAATGCGGATTGTTTAAATACAAGTAAAATTAGTAGGCATATTGGCATGGATATGTATTTGTTGCCGTTGCCAACTATTCACAACAACATTCGCATCGCTATTCAACTTTTAAACAGTAACTAAGTAAGTACTAATATAAACTTAACTTCTCCTATAAGAGAAACAAACACACTTACCTTGACTAAATAGACATATGTGAGGCATACTGCTAGTGTTGGGAATGGTGATGACATCATCGGCCAATCCTTCGTCCTTGAATCTGGAATTACAAAAAAAAAAAAACAACAATTCGAATTAAGTTCAATGCGGATATTAATTAATGAGGAAATGCAATGATTTGTTTTAAGCTTTCTTTGTACTATATACATATGTATGTGCATGTATAGCCGGAATATATTTCTGGGCAAGTTTTGTTAAATATGATGTTTATGCAAAATTAACAGGAAGTGCGGAAAGTTTTATAAGCTCAAATTCGTAGAATATCTTCGAGTAGTTACATACATACATATGTATGTTATAAAATTGGGTAGATGTGGCATATTCAAGCATAGAACGGGAAGAGTTAGAGTTGTTATAATCCCCCATGAAATCAATTTACAACAATTCAAATTAAAATGTTAATTCTGTTGCATAAAATATTCCGCTATACATACGGTTACAATTGTACCCTAACTGCATTTAGAGCTAAGAAGACACAAGTCAGAGGGTTAAGATGGCAATGGATAGGTAGATTGCTTAGCAACAGAAATAGGTACAGAACAATGTTTTAGGCAAACCAAAGGCCATACATAAGTAACTAATAATAATAATAATAAAAATAATAATAACTGAATGGCGCTCCTATAACATGTTAGTGTTTAGCTGAGTTTCTCCTCCGATTTTTGGCGTGCACTTTGCTATTGTCACACAAAGAGGAGGGACCTACATTTTTATTTACAACCACTTTTTAATGGGATACCTCAGGGCGCTCCGTTTAAACAACGTTATTTTTTTTATCAAAAGGGTATCTGGGATGTGCCAATGTTATGGGTGGGACGTTTTAACTCAGCTTTGCTCTAACATTATTCGCCGGTTGCAACAGCAATATTAATGGAAAATACTTTCGTGAAATTGGCTGTAAGTAATTTCTCTTTAACCATTAAATTAGCAAGTTTTTAAACTGTCAACACTTGAAGTAAGATGTTAGTTTAATATGAAACTAATAAAGTGCAAAATTTAAGTATATAATTAACACAGAAAATTGGGTTTTTCCAAGAGTGACCGGTGGGACAACGATGACACACGCCTCTCTGAGTTGATGGATTCGCTTCCTAATTTTAGACTAACTACAAATATTTCATTCATAACGCCTTTCTCATGTTTAGTTAATAGAATCTTAAGCCAAATTTTATGCTTAGATGGCATTATTATGTTTGAAAATTGAAAGAAATAAATCCACTTTTATTTTATTATTTTTTAATAAAAGGTCCTTATATTCTCAATAAAAGGTCCTTATTAAAACAATGGGATGCTTATTTATTGGTAAGCTAAGTTTAAAAAGGCAAATTTTTATATGACGGTTGGCACATCTAATAAGCATTTCTTAGAACGCTGACAACTTCTAACCATAAATGGGTTTTTATAATAACTTTGGCCTATTTTAAAGCCTATAAATTCTACTTTCTTTTTGGATAATTATATTTTGAATTGTGGTCTTGAAAACACGGGACAACTTGGCAACTTGATGAGCGAATACTATATCAGAGATAGTCGTACTTCGGCTGCGTTCATAACAGTAAAATTGGTGAAAAATAAATTGATAACAATCGACTTCTAAAGAATTATTCTACCTGCTTTACTGTTGTCACAGATTTAAACCCAATCTATTTAGTTTATTTTTAAACCTATCGCCGTCTTCGCTGGAATGTTACATATGCTTGTTTCTATGCAGACGATGATCAATAAGCAACTGATGGGCAACTGGTGTCAATATTCTGGAGCCAAGCTATCACTTCAAATATGCAAGCTTCTTCATGTAAACATTTTTTCTGCTCTATTTCAGTTAAGATTAATAAGTGAAATGTTCAACAGCTAAAAATTTTCCGTTTAGTTTTGGATTGTAAGCAAAATTGTAATTCCCACTGTATTAAAAGGGTAACATTTAACAAAATGGAAAATTGCGTTAAGATCCAAAAAAAAGTACGGAAGCGCCCTCTGGCTGCCCACAAAAGAAAAAATTAATGCCAGAAGTGGATTCCTCGACCCCAAAAACCCCCAGATACACATTTTGGCTAGTTTTCAATACAGCTCTTTCAACAGGTGAGCCACTTTTTGAAAAAAAAAAACTGATAGAAAAAATCGCTGGCTCGAAATTCATTTTAGACCTATGGTTTCTTGGGCGAAATTGCTTGAAATTACCCAAATAACCATAATCGCGATGTCCCTTTGATGCAAAAAATTTGACCCGCTCTAATATATGTATATATATATTTTTATTAATTTTTTTTATGTATGTTACCGCATAACTTTGGACCACGTCAACCGATTTGGATAATTAGATAATTTTTGCAATAGAAAGGTAGTATCTCTGAGGTGGTCCCATACTAATTTGGTTTAGATCCGATCATTGGATCATGAAATATATGTATATACATATATATATAGTTTTTTAAGTCGGTTTTTTTTTTTGCTAAAAATTACTAGTTGTATACCAATTGTATGAATTGATAAAACTTTTAATGCGTTTTCGCATAAAATTTAAAATTTCTAATACTTCGTTAAATCATTAAACGCGCGATATGTTACCGCATAACTTTGGAAATTAACGGTACTCTTAAATTTTCATATGAGAATTGAAGTCGGGTTTGTTTTTTTGCTTAAAACTTACTTGTTTCTTTTTTGCAAATAAATTGTTTTTCTGTACTTTCACTACAGAGTTGGTAAGCTATGCCGAAATTTCATTTTTAATTTGTTTTAGTAATAACTTTGTTTTGATTACTCCATTTTAACAATTAAGTGCTTAAATGCGCAAGGAAGCATTTAAATACATTTTTTTTTGGGCTTTAATTAATTTCCGTGCATAAGTTAGTTATGTTGAATAAACGTAAATTTTTTAAATATATTTGTCAATAGCTAAACGAGTCGTTGACATCTCTCACAACATCTCGTATATATATTTTTAGCCTTCGGACTATGATTTTGGGGTGTTAATTCAAGTAACCTTGAATGGCGTTATAGCTTTATTTTTTGGCTCATATACACGCTCGCACAAACACATAACTCGGGGGGTTTTAAACACTTTTCTTTCTGCTTGGTATTCACCTTTATACTCGCATATGTTTATGTGGATTATTTCACTAAGCACAAAGCTCGAAAATCTTCACATGAACCTACTAATTAGGTAGTTTATAGTCTAGTCAGTGGGTAATAGATGGCACATTTATCTCATGAATATTAACAAACAATTGTAATGCGAGTACAACAAATGCAAATAAGTGCAAAAGTGTATATTACAAAACAGCTGTGCGCGTGTGAATTGGAAGTTGTAAATTTTGTGCAAAATATGAAACAAGTTCAAGTTTAGTTAAGTAGAGAATTGTACGTAAGTAGTACAAAGAAAGGAGGTAATCAATACCACACACATTCACATAGAATTCATATATTTGACCCAATTTTAAGAAAAATTACGGAACATTCTTTAGCGGGGCATTTGTTGGAGAGTTCGGATGCAATCACAGTTTAAACTACCGACTCGTGTGGCTGGATTTTGAACTCATTTGAATTGCCGGGCAGTGATGGCTGAGCGAGATTTAGCGACCATGTCAAGAAAGGTAAACAGGGGCACTCCTCAGGGAGGTATTATTCCATCCCCGTTGAAGTTGGCGCTTGTAATCAACAAGATCTTACTCAGGCTGAGAGGTAGGGTCCTGAACTAACAGCTTATGTCTGTGATCTAGCCTTTACCGTTTATGTTAAATGTATAAACTCGATCAGTGAAATTGTCGATAGGACGTTGAAAAACACGTATTTGGAGTGAGACTTAAGGTGACAAAAATCAACCGCACACGACGCTCATTTGGACACAGTAATCTACGTGAGATAACCGGTAATGTTGCTCCTAAAGGGGATACGGAAAGGATTCCGAACCAAACACCGTGCCTACAGTTCCTGTACGAGCGCGTTTAAAATGCGTGAGTGAGTTGGAGTTGCTATATTCTGTATCAGGTTTGTTGCGAATATATTATTCCGAAATAAAAGTCCTTTCCGGATAATACAGAAACCGCCTGTCCAAATTAAACCAATTTAGTACCATATGAAAGAGGACTGAAATAGCTTTTAAACAGAAATAATGAAAGACCTGAATTTATATTTTTTTATAATTCAATACTAAAGAAATTCATATACTTGACACAAGGTTTGTTCTATAGCAATTAATTTAGATTTTTTATTGAAATATTTATTTTCAATATGTGGCTTTCCTCGTTTAGACATTTAAGTTTTAAAGCTATTTAAGCCCTCTTTCATTTGATACCAAACTTGTTTAATTTGGATAAGCGGTTGGTTTGTTATCCGGAAAGGACTTTTATTTCGGAATAATATTCGCAACAACTCTGTTCTGTATGTAGCTCCTGAGCTATTAAAGCAGATCTACTAAAGCAGCTGACCGCAGCTCTAATCCGTCATGAATCATGGGTAAATATTTTCATCGACCCCCAAGTAGCCATTAAGGCAGTAACGGCCACAATGACAAATGACACAATGACACTTTGTGCTAAACAGTTCAGAAGTAGAACATAAAGAGATTAAAGGGAATGAGTGGCTGATATGCTAACCAAAATCGAGGTGAAATTGCCACTAGGAAGCATACCAAATGTCTACCTCTCCCACAACTACCTAAGGGCAGAATTATACATGGCAATGGCAGCAAGGACGATATCGCTGTGGGAAGCAAGCTGCAGGATAGCCAAGATAATGCTTTGATATTACTGTGAAAATACCACCAACTATATTTTAGCATTTCCAGGGCTGTACTTTAACATACTATGAATAAAAAATAAGCAACTGCTTTTTCTGAAAATTTTAGACTTTTTACTTAAATTTGTTTGAACAAATCGAGTAAGAGCTCTGAAATTTTAAGAAAAAGCAATTGCTCATTTTTTATTCACAAAGGCCCACAGTTGCTAAAACTCGCTAAAAAGTACGATTATGACTGAGGTTTAACCCTAGGCCTCTACTTGTTTGATATGTGAGATTGTAAGGCATAATAGTTAGTCTAACCTTACTACCACATCTAAACCAAAGCGTTGAGCGGAACGCCAAAAGTAGATATAACAGCAACAATGCAACAGTAGTTTCGTCATTTTCAGCAGTCAATTTCCCTTCCTAACGACCTGTCAATAATGTATGGGCCTGATAAATTTGTGACAACTAGACAACGCTGACGCATTAATTTAGGTATGGCTGTGAGCGATAGTGATGTGCTCAGTCGATACTTGTAAGTATTGATCGATACTCGGTAATGATTTAAAAAGTATCCAATACTTTCGATACTCGGTACCGAAATATTTAAGTCTCTAAAAAAGCGCACATAGTCCAAAAATATACAAAAAGTCGTTCAGGGGAGTCTGGCTTATCAGAAGCCGAATATAGGGGCAAAGAGAACTTTTGATATGGTTTCAAATGAAAAATGTATATGTACGTATGTCGGTCCATCACCATAATGCAGAAGCACTGTTACTTGTTTGAAAAATTTTTGTTCTAGGTGAATCGGACATATTATTTTTGTAGGCCTGAAAGGCTTCTTCATCTTTCAGAGTATTGTTCTCGAACCTTGGATCTATTTACTAAGGCGAAAACTGATAAAATAATATTTTACTCTTGCGACAAGTTCAATTTTTTTTAGCCGATAGCATATCAAATGGTATTTAAATATTTCTTTTCATAAACTTTAAATAATATAAAGCGGCGACGGTTTAATGTAATAAATCGGTATTGGGTACCGAAAAGGAAGTACTGGGTACCGAAATATTTTAGAAGTAATGGGTACCGAGTATTAAGTACCGACAATTCAGCACATCACGTGTGAGTGAGATCAAAAGGAACGTTCAAGCATCAATAGGCTCCTCATACAATTTTTTGCCGTTCAAATAGAACAATACAAATTTAAGGGATCTGAATCAAAATGCCAATATTTTCAAAGTGACGAAGTTTGTATGTAATCTACAGCAACTTTTAAGCCTTTCTCATGAAAACCTGACAAGCTCAGGTAATTTTAGCCAAATATCGCGTTCACGGAAAAATAATCTCCTTCCGATATCACTTTTGATTTTCTTTCAAAAATCAAATCGTGAGCTTTTGAGGGACAGACAGATATGCCTAAATCGACTCAGCTTGACGTTGTGATCTAAAAAATAACTTAATAACAAAAAATTACAGCTTCTAATAGCCGAACATGCCGAAACGATAACGGTTAAATGCTCGCTTTTCATACATTGTCAGCTTTTGCGTGTGGATTTCAATTGCAGAACACGTAAAGCCAAACTACCGTACCAAAAGCCTAACAGCAACAAGTAGAAAATTGCAAACGATTTCCACAAGTTTTTTACAATATATTCCGCGGTCGCTACCCGGTGATGTGATCATTTGTCAAAAATTCAAAACGATCAGAATAACAACGTGTTTTGAATATTTTAAGGAGCTACGAAAGAAGTGGAAAATTGCATAATCGCAAAACTTTTCACGAACATGTTATGCGAATCACATTTTTGCCTACAGGCTGATAAGAAGGCGTGTAAAGTATTTTTATTTGACGAACATGAAAAAATCACAAAAGCTAATAAATAGTCGTTTGGGTGGGTGATGGGGCAAAAAAGAATTATACAAAAGTAAATATACACAAATCTGTATAAGCATGCGCATATATACATACATCCCAGTAGGAAATAGAAACAGGTAATAATAGTACCTTACCAGCAACTTATTCTTCTGCCAGTGGTAATTATTAATTAATTGCCGAATTTCCCTTACTTTACCAAGGGCGTGGCCGTCTAAGCCGCTTTACTAAATAAAGTACGCATAATGTAGAGCAATCGCTCGGAGTAGTTCCGCCGCGTTCGGTAGTATCTTCGGCGGTACATTATTTTGTGCAACTTCTTTTAGTAAGGCGTAATCGGAGGTAGTCATTTTGCACTTTACCAATAGCTAACATTAGTCATGATAACAATTTTGGTACTGTAAGTTGAAAGAAAACATGGATTAGGTCGTAAGGCGTCTTCCCCATGTTCCAAATGGCATAGGTAAGTAAGTATGTATGTATGTCCGTATGTATTTGCACAATACTGGGTGTGGTACTTGCGATATTTGCTGCTATCTTTTTAATATTGATTTTTTTTTGTTGGTTTGATAACCGCTTGATTGATGAGCTTATACTCACCCAAAATTTATATGCTGAAATGTAAGTACATAATATTGTCGAGCTTGTACTGACAAATTTTGACACTGACAACAACTAAGCAATGAAGTAAATAATATATGACTATAATAAACGAGTAAAAATTTGTGGAAGCATTTAACCACCGCAAAGAGTATGTTGGTATGTATCTGTAGGTATGCTTGAATCCGTGTTATTTGTTGACGCGCATTGTTTCTTATATATGTATGTACATATGTACCTGCCATGTAGTGATTTAGCATTTAACGTTTAAGAAATTTTTATATGGTTTTATGATCTCTATATGTAAATATGTGTGTGTATAACGAAGCTGTCCGTTCAATGAGCAATTACGTTGGAAATCATTTGGACAGGTGACTTACACAAATTGAAGCATTGACAAATGAATAGGTAATATATGTACTGAAACAAATTAAATTAAATTGATAAAATATGGCATTTTTAATATTTCTTCTCGTCATTACCATTATAAAAGTGGCATTTTTGATTTTTAATTTTTAGTTCATTTGACTATTGTGTAAACTTACATATATGGTTGCTGATCTTAGGCTCACTCATGCATATCGCTTTATTAATTGTTATGACAATTTACCAGCGAGTTATGGAATACACTTCTGAGAAAAAAAATGTATTAATGCAAACGAGCGCCTTTTTGTAAGACTTAGGTGCCAGAAGAAACTATCTTGCTTGCTGGCTTTCAGTTGTCGAATCGAAATGTCCTATCTCTCAATTTGACAGGAACCATTTGTAGGTATTTATTTAAAAACACAGCAGTGATGGCCTGTTTCTAGTTCATCGTATTAAGGTGGAAGAAATATGGTATTAAAGAGGCGATTCTCTATATAATTGTAGTTTTTCTATTAGGTTTGATTAACCTAAGTATGAGTATCATTGTTTCTTGTTTATATTTCAGAGACATAAAAAAACGAATCATTGAATTGATCAATCGATAACGCGAAAGCGATTAACTTACAACGGTAACATCACCAACTTGGGTGGACATCAGACTAGTAATGGGAGACCTACGTAACACTCACTGCCTCACACTCATACCACGCGGGAAAGATGACACTAGTGTAGAATGGCGGATGGCAATGGAGACAATAGAGATCGTAATTGATCATACAATCAAAAGATTAACAAATTCGACTACTGGCAAAGCAATGCATCACGAATAGGATTTAAAATCGGTGTATGCCCACATATAATTTAATGGCGAAGCTAAAAGCCTGATTGTCGTCTATGTGAGGTAACCACCAGCGAGGTAACCTAAAAGAGCGATTTTTTTTTAAATCTTAAAATAAATCTGCGTATTTAAATTTTTATAAATTTATTCTTTTAAAAGTTTGAAATATTGAAGGCATATTCGTTATCATACACGAAAAAGATATTGTTTTTTTTTTAATTATTGTCGGTATCGACATACTTGTTTCAAAATAAAAAAATAAAAATTTAGTTGAAAATTTTTTAAGACTACATATTTACATACACTGGCAAGCAAAAGTGAGTGCATGGTATTTTTTGTTTAATATTTGCAATGATTTCAAGTTAAAATTTTTTAATAAAAATATGGTTCATGCTTTGATCAAAACCACAGAAGTCAAACTCTGAAACTTTATACAGAACTTAGAAAAATTAAACGAATATTCATCTAAATTTTGACCTTTTTGATTTGAATTTTTAGAAAAATTTTGAGTACGTAGATAGATCGCTTTTTTAATTCTAGTAAAACAGGAGCAAGTTTTAAGCGGCTAAAAAATCGCATTGATTTTTAACAATTTTTTATTACCATATAAAAGTAGACGAAATTAAGAAAAATGAACGCTATATGTTAAAAATTGCACTTGTTATATGCATAAAACCGCAAAATCTGTAAGAATAAAAATTCAATAAAAATCAACGCGATTTTTTAGCCGCTTAAAACTCACTTTTGATTGCCAGTGTACATTTCGCTTTACCAATTTTCAACTTAATGTTTGACAATACAAATATTAATATTTGCTTAAATTTTTATTATTCTTTTTAAGGTTTTCTTACACTTCATTTAGTCAGCCAATGCACAATCTATTTTATTCAGCTGCATTTTTTATGATAAAATATAGTTAAATTTAAATACGTATGTACCTACACACACACATCCACATTTATAAAATAAATTGGCTACTTACCACCATGTGAGTCCATGTATCTTTGCATACTGTCAATGTATTTCATAATTAAGGCCATTGTGCTAACTGTGCTAGTATTTGTCTATGCCCTATTGGATTGTTCCTAGGTTTGAAGCGGTGATTTGCACTGATTCCTGCTGCTGCTGCTGCTGCTGTTGTTGTTGTACCTAGACCGACGTTTAGTGTTTTCTCGCTACTAGCTATAGATAGTTTTGCGTTTACTTTTTTGTGAAAATCTATTCACAGTTATTTTTATTCCTGTTGTGGTTTTACATTTATTGCCCCTAATAGACTTCTACTTTCGTTTTGTTAACTAATTTTGCTACTGCTTGTGGTAATATTGTTATTTTACCATATAATTTTCACGCAGCAGCTTTTGGCCCTGTTGTTGTGGGTGTTTTCTGAATCGATGGATTGGTGGGTGTTTTCTGTAAATAAGTAAATTGGTAACAATTATTCAACAAGGCGTAAAGGAGCAAGTTAACAGTTAACAGTAGTTTATAATATACATATGTATGTATGTATATTTATGTATGTGTGCTTACAGATAAACGTTCATTAGACAAGTAACTTTTATGGGATTATCAACATGGGGGCACCAGTAGTATTAAAATATAACGGAAAATGTTGCAGCCAACTTCATGTTAAAGTGTTATCATTTAGCCATGCTTAACAGTATCTGCCATTTAATCAAAGTGTTAATAACATATTTAATAAAAACCTTGCCTACTATGACTCAGGAAAACCTTTCATTGCGATCAAAAGCCAATGGTACACCCAAAAAAAAAACTTCTCCTTATTGAAGAAAAACAGCAATCAAAATGAAGAAAAATGGGAACGAAACAGCACTAAAGGAGTTTTATCCTCTTTTAATGCCCAACATTTCTTCAAAATGATAGATTACAACCACGGTTCCATATTTTCGTGTACGTTTTTACGCATTCCAAAGAAAAATTACGCATTCAGGAGAATTTTTTACTCATTCGGAAGAATTTTCTACCTTAAAGTAAGGAAAGTTTTTCTTTGATCCAGAGATGGATTTTTGGTTCAGTTTATGATACCGGAAGTCGGAAACTGGTTGCTTTATGAACTGAAACCAAGAGATATCGAACGGCACAAAGCGAAGTCGAAGTGGATTCATTACGACAGTCCAAAGCGTGTGTTAAGCAGTGCAAACCTGGACCCTCGACAGCAAAGCCAAATATCCATGGCACCAAGGATTGAATTTGGGGATACCGGAAGGGAATCCTGTTTCATGAGCTTCTGAAAAGTGGTCAGACGATCGGCAGGGCTCTACACAGACAGCAACTGATGCGATTGAAGCAAGCTATTGTGGAAAACCGGCCGGAACGGGCAACCAGGCATGAGGCATTGATTTTCCACTATTGCAAAGCTCGGTCGCATGTCGTACACATAGTCAAAACATGTTGCGATGTTACTGGATGGGAAGTTCTAACCAGTACGCTTCACTTCAGATATAGAAAATTGGCTTCATAGTTTCTTGGTCTCCAAAGATGAGCAGGCTTATTGGCGCGGAATCAATGAATTGCAAGAAAAGTTTGAAAAGTTCATGGCTAGCTATCGTCCTTTAATAATAAAAAAGTACCAATTTTACACAATAATGTAAAATCCTATAAATTTTACTTTCTTACCTACATACATACATAAATAGTATACTTAGTAATAGTGATCAAGACAAACTGGCAGTGAAATAATCGTATAAAAAGAAAGCCACGCCTTTCCATTAATGATAGATATGAGCAAGCTCTAGCGATTATAATACGTTTTGGTTATTGTACATAATGGGCGATGGAGGAATGGTAGCTAGAGGGACATTAAACATTTTTGATGTTTCATTCTTTGCAATAAATTTGTATAGTTCTTGTTCTTGCTTTTGCTTTTGTTTGTTTTTTATTAATTTTATTAGAACCCAGTCAAGATAAACATTTATGAGTGAGTTAATTCTGACTGACTAATAGCGATAGACTACAAACACACATTTTTATGTACACCGTAAAAATTTAGCGGTTGTAAACATTGGACCGACATACATATTTATAGCACATCATTTAATGTTAAGGTCGTCAATGGAAAATTATGACAAATTTGTAAAGCAGTCTAACCTTCTAATAACCATTTGAATTAACTAATTGAAGTATGGACCAAAAAGGCACAAAATGAAAGGATTTAAAGGGTTAAAATTTTGTATGAAGAAAGTCATCTACAACATAAAAAAGAAATTGCTCTGTATTAATTATACTTTTTTCTTGGCGAGATATATTTCAAAACAATTAATAACACTTAAATTTTTTTTAAATTTTTTTTTAAATTACACTGCTATCTATCGACTTCAGTGACACTCTTCACTTTTGTAAAATGACACGGTCAACTGCATCTAGAAAACTAGGTCCAAGAAGAATAATATATACATATGTTCAAAACCAAATGTATTGGGCGGTAATACTGTAGGAGCTTAAAAGTTTGCAATAAAATGTTAAAAAATTAATTCATCGCAAACAAAATAACTTTTGGAAATATTTTCAAATCGGTTTAGCTCTAGTAAATCTTAAAGTTTTTACGAAGTACGAGTATATAGAGGAAGTCTTAAAATATAATAAAGTTTATAATTCCGGTGGAAAACCGCAAACTTTTTCTTGGTATTGATGCTCCCTAATGTATATACATACGTATGTGTGCATATGGAAAAAATGCCTAGCACCATCAGAAAAAAATTTTAAATTAACGGGAATACTTAGCCACTTGAAACTTGCAATTTATTACACCAAAATTAAATAAGCTATAAAACTGCATGTCTTAAATGTTTCATAAAAATTAAAAAAAAAATTGTTTTGGTAAAAATTTTCTTACAACATTTCAAACTTCACTTGTGCATTTTGTCTTCAATTTAGAGTACCCCTATGATTGATTTCAACTAGTTTGATTATATTTAGAACATTTATTTAAATGTATAGGATAATCGATTTTCTCAAATTGTCACTTCATCACACTTTGCACGAACAAAAAATTTTTATATAAACTAATAAAAATTCAAAAGTCGGGATAGATAAATCTCTTCTAAATTTCATTAGCTTTCATTAAAAATAATCAAAACGGTTTAAAAATGAAGGCCCTTGACTGCTTCGACCCATTCTGCGGTTGTATGGTTCATTGCACACACACGTTTCATAAATATTTAATTTCCTTGTTGAGTTACTTCTGATAACAATTTATTATTTCACATGCACCTAATACCTAATTATAGTTGTTTTGTTTGCAAACAATTTCACGCAATAAATCTCTTTAATTTAAACGATAATCTGGTACAAACAAGTTTCTTCTTTGTATGGGCGAATTCAATTTAGGAACGAACACATTTATGATGTTTTTGTTAGGCAAATAAATGTTATTGTTTTATATTTGAGCTATATATGTACGTTAACTTTAAATAACCAGTTAAGACGCCGAGATAGTGAATTTATTTAATTGAAAAGCAGCGCCTTTTCTAGCGGTTTCGTGTCCATTGAGATTGTCACATGAATAAATACAATAATAATTAAACTATTATCTTCAAAATTTTAATTAGAATACTTTATCAAAAGATATTGGACGTGCACGATTTCAGGAATTTCACTTATCAGCCTGACTACAAACTTTGAAACTTTTAAACTAAAACTTTTTCGAAGTCAAATAAAAAGGAAGTTAAAGAAAAAGCATTTACTAAGTGATGAGCAGTAGAATTCCACCAAAAAATATACATATTTACATACTATAGATCTGTATGGTAACCGCAGCTGAGAGAGTTTGCACGTGACTACAATTTAATGCCTTTATCTTTCCACGCCCACAGATTCAAACATTTGAGTTATTCAAAAGGAAACCACAATTTTAAAGCTATTAATATTTAGCACAAAAAGCCACATCACAGATCAAGGAAAATTTTGAGGAACAGCGTGGCTTATTTCAAAACTCAGGGTCATATTAGCTCAACCTCATATACCACCGTAGTTACGTAGTTGAATTTATACACAGTAGTACTAAAAAAAAATGACATAAATGCTATCATTCAACAACAACCATTCATCATCACTATTACGCTTAGTTTATTGTTCAATGACCGGGTCGCATTTTTCGAAATTTTGTTTCTGAACGTAGGGATCGCCTTTTTCGAAATTTTCGTCACATCTCCGGCCTTGACAGTCACATCTTAAAGTGTTATATATCGATGGTCTGTCTCGAGAAGATTTTTTTGTCAAAGTTCATTGACCTGAAGTACGCCGTTCTAGTGCTCACCCACCAATCTCCCTCTCAGTTCTTACCACCCTAATGTCATAAATTCAAACTCACCAAAATTAATTAAACTCTTGCTAAGGAAGTACATAAGTACTTATTTATTATATTTTTCGTCATTTGCAGTCAGATCTTCATCAGTATGATGTCAGTAAATTAAAGCTCGCCATTAAACTTTTGTGCAAAAGGAGTATTTTGATTATTCCAGTGGAACTAGTATGCTAAAAAAAATTGTATTACCCAACGTATGTAGGTGTCGCGGAATATGCAAAAAGACAACCCCAAGTTCGGATAACCAAAAAAAAAATATTTTTAAAAATGGCCGTTGCAAAAAAACTTCAGACTCGGAGGTATACGGCGACCTTTTTTTTTGTGTTGGCTTGTAGGGTGATACAGCCTAATGTTTCACAATGTCGTCACATTTTCAAAAAATATATGTTGCGCAACAAATAAGGTCAAGGACGTAGACGAAGGTTTTTGCCATTTGCATGCAACAGATTAATGCAGCGACGAAATTTATGTAGCTTTTGCCCATAGAAAGTTTACATCGAAAAAGAGTGAAATGACTTGCTGCAAGCGTTAATTTATATATTTTCGTTTGCTCAAGAATATTTGCACATATGTTTACTTCCGCATTTCAGCTTTCTTCTGCTTTTGATTTTCTTTTTTTTGCTTGTCCTCTTTATTTGTCGACGTCGAATTCGTTTGCTAAGCACTTTACAGACACTTTCACAAACACGTAGGTATTTATATATTTGGATACATACATAAATGTAAATATTTATTTACAAACAATCATAGTTCACCATTCAAAAATTATGCTGCAGCGAAGGTGGAGCTGCAACATAATTTTTGCATTCGTTGCAACCTTCAACATTTTACAAAAATGAGTGCAACCGTTACCGGACTGGTCTGACAGCCAAAATGGTGAGGAATCATGGTAAGGGCTTGGTGGTCGAGTTGAAGTGAGCTGGGTCGTATCGCGAGCTTAACAACACACAGAGCTAATTTGTTTGGTTAAATTGGTCAAAGTCACAAATGTGCTGAGTCAACAACATTTGTCCGACGACTGTTTACGTGTATGCACTTACATTTTGCATTCATTGTTTTGTTTCGTTTTGATGGACAATGTAAGTAAATA